CCCTCCTCCCCCAACTCCTCCAAGTCACGTGCCCCACCCCCGATATAATGGCCACCACCCCTGCAGAGCTCACAGCAGTCGTCGCGGAGTGCGCACACACAGTCCGTCAGAGGCCGCCGTCACACAAGGACACACACACGCGAGCTCACTCACTCACTCACCAGCACGGCGGCGACGACGACGGCGGCCCGGCGAGCACCGCGATGACGCCCCTGCCGGCACCACACGCCGCAGACACGTCCCTCCGCGGCGTGGATGGTGATGGTTCTGCGGCGCCGGCATGTGCGGCGTCTATCTATGTATGTGGAGTACATCTCCGCTGCCCTCTACCCCTCGGGCCCCGCGCCGCGCGCTATACGGCCCCGAGCGCTATACGCGGTCGGTCGTTCGCTTTCCGTTCCTCCCACGCAATTTGTATGTCGTATCCTCGTCTATCGCACCCCCGCCGCCGCCCAGCCCGCCTGGCCCGCCCGGCCCGCGCGCCCAGCCCCGCCCGACCGCGGCGCGGTACTCAAATTTATACCTTAAAACCACACACACACACACAGACAACATGCGCGGGCGCAGCGCAAAACACACACACGCACGCACGCGTATGTGTGTGTGTGTGCCTTGAAACCTCTCATAGGATGCTAAATCGTAAAATAGGAAAACTCACAACTTTGGATGCGTTCTCGGTATAGGCTCCGGGGCCGTATAGCCAGGCGTTATGGACCAACAAAACGGCGCTTACGCTAAGCCGGCGAGAGAGACAGAGAGCGAAAGAGAGAGATTGGGGGTGGGGGCGATGCAGCTAGTGGGGATGTAGAGGTGTGGAGAGGTGAAGAGGGGGGGGGAGGGGGCGTGAAGGGAGCAAAGGACAGGTGGGAAAGGTGGCAGGACCTATGCCCCTCCCAAAGGGGGAGGGGGCAAGGGCACAACGACAGCGTGGTGTCGAGGTCCAGCAGGTAGAGCTGCACGCATCACCCTCCATGCAAATACAGAACAGTATAAAAGGACGTGTGCGTTTGTGGAAGGAGAGCGAGGCAGAGCGAGAGAGAGAGAGAGAGTGAGAGAGAGAGCGTCTGTGCAAAGGGGTGGGGCACATTGTGTGCGTGTATGCGTGTGTGCGCCCTACACTCCCGACTGCAATCAACCTCCCTAGACCCTCCTCGTAGACGATGCGGTGTGTCCACCTCGGCGGTGACGGTGAGGGTGGCTTGCGGAACAGGGCGGGGCAGGGCATGGCGGTGCGGGGTGGCGAGGTACGGCAGGAAGGGGGGGGGGGGGGGGGTAAAGGTCATACAGTTTCACTACCCCTCACCAACAGGCAGGCTCCCGAGCACAACAAGAGCGCGTGTGTACAAGATGGAACGGCCGATATTTTTGTTATCTTCTTGAACAGTATAAAAAATTATACAGTTCGGCTACAATGGGCACAGCGAGGGCAGCATAAGCAAAAGACACGGAGTGCAATGTAATAAGTGCCTAACTATACTAAAACACTAGCAATTAAGTGTGCTAAACTGTTTATGTCGAGGTTATTGTATCACTTGTAAGCGTCCAAGTTCAACTAGTTAGTTGTACACCATCGAAGTGTTTCGGTTCGGATGAGCAGTGCACAACTATCGAGCTGAAAACTTTGCAGATGCACTTCTACCCTCGCAGCGGCACGAATGAGCTGAACTGCATCTCGGATAAAAAATAGTGTGGGAGTTTACGAATAAACAAAAAAGAAAACGAAACCGAGTACTGTTCAAACGTAAAATAAAAATTAAAAATGAAAGAGTTGAACAACTGGAGGCGACTCTGGAGGAATGCAAGGCAGATGGGCTGAGGATGCGGGTCCATGGGTGCACGAGCCAGCCGCATGGCCACGAGCTTCGAACAGGTACCGAAATAAACACGATGGACGAAGAAAACAAGAAGAACAAAAAAATACGTTGCTGTACGCCGGCAAGGGCATCGGCTCACGGCAGGGCGGGAGTAGGAGGGAGGAATGAGTTGAATTGTCCCCGAGGCATAAAACAAAATGGGCAAAAAGCCCCTCCCGCTCTCTCCCTCCCGTGGCTCACCTCTTTTATAGAAATGTTCGCCAAAATGCGACGGGGGACATAACCCCTGATGTGCCACGGCATATTTCATACATCTCCACCTCCCACCTCCCTCGTTCACTTCCCCCTCCCGCTCCCCCGATCCCTTCCCTTGCGATCAGACACCGTAGGATTCAATCGCCAGGGCCAACTCAAGTCCTTGCAGTAACAACGTCAATTCTTTACCCAGTTTTGTTTAAATCGTGTTACTTACTTTGTCCATGCCAGAAGCAAAGCTTCCACGAATAATCAAATTCAATCCGTCCCAATCAGTTCACGCATATCCCACACTCAGAGAAGTCAGTTTTTGGATGAAGCAAAATGTTCTTGACTTGAACTTGTACGTGATTATTGTACTTCTTCCAGGACCATACTACTTGATTGTAGAAAACAGTGGCACTAATGCAAATAAAAGTATCTTAGGCTAAGCACATTATTCAAGTACAGGTTTAGGCCAAGAACATTTAGCTTGATCCAAAAACTGACTTCTGAGGGTGCAGCCCCCGCTCAGATCAAAACCCTTGGGCCAACAGAGACCTCGCGGTAAGTCAACTCAAGACTCAAGGGATAGACTGGTGAAACAAAATACGCCTTTCTAAATATGTTAAAGAAAAACTTTGACTGAAATACCCTTGGTGGGTTGGGACATTAAAAATCCTCAGTCGCGCGTGCAACCTCGTCATGCCCCTCGGCCTCTTTTTCATCCAATGAGTTAACCAGTACATGAGTCGATTCCGATCACACATCGATCATGTGGAATCGATCCCTGAGCGAGCCGGGGCGCACTGCGTGTGCAGACGACACGCTGCGTCCATGCTGCGCTCTGCAGGCCGGCGCCCCAACACGATGACAGCTGTCCTCGGCTGCCACGGGCGCAGCACCGGCCTCGGCCAGCGGCCGACAGAGCGCGCCACGGGCGGCTGGCCGCTGCCTCGCCGACCACCGCGCCCTCCTCGGCCCTCCGCGGCGGGGGCTGCGGCGGCAGTAGCGGCCGCGGCGTGCGCCACCTACCGGCCGCCGCTCAAACTGGCTCCAGTTTAATGAGGCCGCCTCCGAGGACGTGTTTTTGTTGTTGTCTCGTTTCGTTTCTCGCGCCCGGTCTGGAGGTCTGGCGACAGACGAGGACGAGACAATGAGAGGACCGGACTCGATTCGAACGCGGCCCAACAGGGGTCGGGGCGGTGCACGGGAGGGGGGAGGGAGGGAGGGACGGAGTATGCTACATGAGTTGCCTAGCTCTGCAGGAGGTACGTTAAGGTCGTCTACAACTACTGCTAGATTTACTCCAGCAGAACAACACAATGTATGAAATTAACATATTTCAAAGGATTGGCAAAAAAGCCATCGACGAAAAATTGAAGATTCGATTGACAACATCGACACCGCAAATCAATAATGGCCAGCAAAAATTTCACCTAAAGATTCTGATCATTCCCCGACGGCTTATTATTGGCCTTAAGCAAAATTAAACTAAAGTTCAGAACCGTGGTAAGCTGGGCGCTGGATAAGTTCAGGAAGGGGGAGAGGCAGATAATAAGGGAAGGTCAGGGGCAGATGGTGGTCAGCCACCTCCCAGAGATGAGTCACTGCCAAAACCATCGCCACCACCTCGCCCCTTCAGCGCCGTGCCGCATCGCGCCTCCCTCTCACCCGCTCGCCTATCGCTCTCTCTCTCCCTCTCTGCACCGTAGCCACTCCGCAAGTGTTGTCTCTCTCCCACCCACACGCAGCCCGGGGAACGCTCCTGCTTGCAGGAGCGCTCCCTCTCCTCGCCTCCCATCCCTCCCCTATCCCCACCACCGTCGCCCCCCACCACGGCCGGCCGGCAGCGTGCGCGCGCAGCGCGCCATGTTTTTGACGTCACGTGACCTCAGCCAGCCAATCAGGCTGCACACACACA